TATAAACTAATATAATTAGAATTGAATGATCGTATAGGCTTCTAACCATGACAGCTATTGACAATCTTATTGTAAATACTTAGCTCAAACAGACATTCATTTTTATAGTTTCATAACATTAAATTACAAACGACAGTAAAAAGCATATTTCTGCTAGACACTTTTCTCCAAACCAGAACAATAATGTCGCAGCCACGACTGATCGTTGTACCCTACTGCGATAGTTCTAGAAAGTTCAAAGTAAAACCACTTGAAAATAAATGAACACAGTTTTATTGAAACTTTGCTTTTAAAATCATGCTTCTCTTATCTTCTGTTGATACTAATGTTTTATTATAGGTGGTATTCACTGGAAAGCCCAACTTCTGGTAATCAGTTTTTCGATTAAAGCGATGGTTCTCAGTTATGGAATGTTAGAAATTATAGATATTCACAAATGTCATTATTAGGACTTCTAGTCTGTAAACTCATAACTCATAATACAACGTAATACATTTTGAACACTGCTTTGTGATATCGCAGTAACATTTCTGGTTTAGAAATGCAACAAAGATTAAATTTCAATTAAATTTATGAACTTAATAATTCGTGTTTGTTTACTTCGTCTTCAGTGTTGCTCCGAGTGTTGTAACTCAGTGTCAAACAAAATGTGACTGACGAGTACTTAAGTGACAAACCTTGCTTAAAAAAACAAAAAAGGCTTAACATAACTATCTGTTATAACTTAAGAATATTTGATCCAAGCTTCCCCAATTATGAAACATATGTGTGCTATGAATTTGTGAAATGAAGTTGTGTAACTAAATATAATCCCTAATGTCACAATAAGTATTGTATTCATGTTATTCATACTTTTGTAAACAAAGCTTTATTATATCCCTAACAAAGAGTCACATATATATAAGTGGAATGTTTTACCCCCTTAATCCTTTAGTTACAACAACCTTTTTTCTATACAAATAAAGCTCATAAAACATTTGCACTTGAATAACACTTTATGAACACTTGGGTTAAACAGCCAGGTCAGAGACCCCTAGAATTCAGGCATAGCAGTATCAAATTTTTAACTATCGATCAGATGAAAGTCCGACAGTCAACGGCATCTGTTGCCAAAAGGATATTTTAAAGCTTTTAACTGGATAATGGTATTGACTTGAACTCTTATAACGCACTCTCAGCTGAAAGTGTGGAGTGTGTTCAGCGGCATTGCTGCGTAGACGTTGGACAATCTTATCCGCAGTCCGGCATACTAGCCACTTGGCCACGCCCGGCCCACAAAATAATTAAATAAACATTTAAATATCTATATATTTATCGCAATAAAAAGGATATATTTAAATTCAGCAACTAGACAAAGTAGTTGTCAACAATGTGAATACTGTGATGCAATTACATACAGATTACAAATTCATGTCATAAAAGAAAACAGTGTCCTATGCTATATTATTTATGGGGCACATTTCGTAGCCTCACAAGTAACAGTTATAGCAGTATATGCTGGAGTTTTAGCGTAGAGTTAAAAGAGTGCTATGAAGGAGCCAGACTCTCAGTAATGTTTATTAACGTTTCGCTTATGAAAATAGTATTGTCTACACATAAAAAAAAAGTTTTCGTAAAAAGTCTGGAACCGTAGACACTTCAAAGAATTTTACAGAATGTGTTCCGCATGCTGTCCTTCTAATTCGAAACACGTTTGGATTAACAGCAGGAATAACTTGACCTTCTCATACGTATCTGAAATTCAGAAAAGCTGCAAAACCAGACTTTTCAGATACCCTGTATATTTAAAAACAAGTTGGATGATTATAATGTAATAACATCAGGCGTCACTGGGGTTATAATATAAAAATATAAATTACTATTCAGGTTGCAGTATATCCAGGGGCGGATTGGGCCAGTGGGGTGATAACCTGGTTATGCTGTCTCAGTGCTACTGACTAACCTACTGTAGATCTGTACATATATATATATATATCATTCCTGATTTTTGAGTATTTGCCCGGGCCGTTTTAGGCTCCCAATCCACCCCTGAGTATATATATAAGAAAACTCTATAGAAGTATTAAAAATTAGGCTTCTCATTGCGTTACAAACCAAAATAAAGACAACCCAGAAATTACGTTATCACCAATTCGTACCATTGTGTTAGAAACAGAAGACCTGAACCTCTATTGGCTACTAGAATATTATGTCATTAGACCAACAAAGGTAGATGGGTGAACTCGTAGAATGCGAACAATGTTGTTTGCTTTAATTCCTCACAGATTTAGAAATGTACTGAATACATTTATGACCATAATTTTCGGACATCATGTACTTTATGTACAAAGGAAACTTTGCTGCATTAGCTCTTTGAAAACTACATTATCTTTCGGTCAATTCAAGACAAAGTTTATACCTTAAAACACCTAATTTTATGTGCTTGCGTGGATATTATAAACGCTCAAAACAAAAGAGGTCTCATGGGTGTGATTTTGATAGTATACTTAAGCACAGTCTATACGCGTGAAACGAAAGAAAACATATTTTTGTTACTTTTAAAACGCTAGAATATTAGAAAATATTACAAAAGTAACCACATTTGATCAAATAGTTTTAGATATTTCATTTCAACACATTAATGTCTTGAATAAAAACCCATAAAAGGTTCATTGTAACGACTACAACACTTATTCAGACAGTGGCGCAATTCTTCTATTCCTTATAACCTTTTATATTGAATGTTAATGTTGCAAAGAAAAAGCTATTTGTCATTAGTATATATTCAAGAAACTTAAATAAAATTCAAATCATTTTTCGCCTATAATATTTTTTAAACAAAGTTTTATGTCCGATGTTCTCGAACAATTATGCCGGCAATTAAACATTCATTGATAAATATATCTTAGTTTATTGTGTTATTATTTGCTTACATTTCATATTTAATATAGAATTTTCCATTACTTTAATAACAACTTACAATCGTTTTGTCGTACTACACACCGACTTCATGCAAACGTATGGTTCAATGTTGTTACGTATTTGCTGCAAGTTTCTTCATAATTCATCCTTCAATTTGACCTCATCCCAGAACCTAGTTAATCCCACAGATGTTCAATAGGAATAAGATTTGGTGAATGTGACGTATAGTCTTTCAACTATCCCACGTTATTTTCCACCAACCAGCCTTTTACAAGTTAAGATGTGTATTTGGGATCCCGATATTATTGAAACAGAAACTTTCTTACAGTTCTTAAGTCCTAGTTGATCTTCAGATTTCCCAGTATAATATACATGTGCATTTTTCCATTCATGTTGTGCTCTGTTAGTACAAGTTCACCAACACCTGAAGTTGTCATAAATCTCCAAACTTTAAAGTTGCTTCCTCCATATTTCAAGGTGAGCTGTAGACACTTCTATTTATATTCTTCTGGTGGCTTTCTCCACGCCTTTATTCTCCTATCTGAACCAAATACAATTTGTCTGGCCTAAACTAATATTTTCTTCCTGTTGACTGCTCTAATGAAGGGCTTTTTTCAAGCAGCCCGACCAGTGAATCCCTCTTTTTTATTACATTTATTGGTATTTGTGCTGACACCTTAACACCACAGTCTTCAAATAACTCCTGCATTATCTGATCAACTCATTCTGTCTTCTGAGCTTGACAACAATGGCACCGAATGCTGCTCTCTAGTAATTCTTTTGCTCCTACTGCCTTTCAAGTTTGTACTTTTGTAAGATAGAGTGCACTGACAGGTTTGGTATTTTCAACTTGTTAAAATTTATGTTTGACTATAATCTTCATTAAATGAAGTAACTATTTGCACATAAACAGCATCATAATAATTTGCTCTTTTTACCATTTTTAGGCTAAATGACAGTTTTCTGAAAACCGTGAATCTTATAGTGCCCTATGATAAAAGTATTTTTAAGAACTTTATTCTGGACTATATCTCTGACTAATTAATTGTTTTTAGACTGCCTGAATTGTTGTTTGAGCACATCTGGCTTGAACAAATCATTATAAAAGAAAAGAAAATTGTTTTAATTTTATCTACAAGTTGTCTGAATATGTAATAAATACAAATAAGTAACTTTTTTAACATTCCCATCCAATGTAAGACATTGCTTCAGCAGTTATTTTAGACATTGTACCTAGTATGTTTTGAATAAATACGAAATAAAGCTGTCATTTATAATACGGATGATATTATATAATTCAAAATGTAACTGAAAATTCAAATTGTGGCTTTCGTTAAAAACTCTTCTTTATCATTTTGGCCTTTACTCTTGTTTGTAGAACTCAGTCCTTATCTCAGAAGTTTTAAGAGGTTGACTTGAGAAGTACAAATTTGAAAAACACAAAATGTTTGATCAAAGCTTAGAAAAATGAACGGTCACATTTAGATTGAATATTCTGTAAGATTCCATCCGTATAGCCACTCAGAGAATTTTTATTGTGTTTATGAAGGAATTCATATGAATTTTTCTTTGGGCACCTAGCTAAAGTTTCTTGTCAGGAAAAATGATAAAAGTCATCAGAAACCCAGATATGGCAACTTTCATGCTGGACAGTTGACCATGATGGATCTAAAGCTGAAATTGGATTTTGTGATAAGGAAGGATTCATGCTCAATTGAAAATTTATTACCTCGTCTAGTTACTTCTGAATAAAAACAACTTATGATTTTTGATGATATTATATCAAAAATATTCAATAGTGCAAATACTTTAGGCTATGTTGAAATAATTTGTGCTGTGCTTCTTTGAAAGCTGGCAAATCAATAATTAAACATTTTTTTTTCCAAATTCAATATATATATCTGTATATTATGCAACAATTTGTTTTATTCTTCCTTTAATGTTTTAAATTATTTAAAATTACTTCTCTTTAAAATACTGGTTTCTTAGCTCTTCAACTATTGTTTTCACTTTAAAAAACAATACAATTTAAACATAAAACACTGTCTTTCAAAAATAACTTAAAATATGTATAATCCCAACAAACTATGTAATCCCTGATTAATATAAAAATACAAATAGATTACCTACTTAACAAAATATACGCCATTTGATAATATATTAACCTTCCAGTTTTTTTGTTGTTAAGCTCAAAGCTGCACAATGGGCTACATGTGCTCTGCCCACCAATGGTACTTAAATCAAATTTCTAGTGGTATAAGTAATCAGGCTTACAATTGAGCCATCTGGGTGTTAGCCACATAGAAGTCTAGTATAAAATTCCAATACATTTAAAACTTGCACTAAACTAAAAAAAAAGTTAAAGATTATCGATTATACCTCCAGTAAATAGTTAAATAATTCATGGAATATACTTTTTTTGCCATCTACATTAATTGTGTAGTACATTAAAATGTGTCTTTAAAACAGGAGAGAAATATTACTTTATTAAACGCGATTAAAAATATATTTTATGCCTTAGTTTGTGCAATATGTGGGCAAAACAGAAAATTTAAGAATTAGAACAAATATAGTTAAGTATCACGTGACAAATTCACATTCAATATTCAATAGTTGCCTTAATAAGCAATATAAAATTTTAAGGGAACATTCTATGAGGTTTGTTTTTTATTGGTCTTACAATAATAAAATAAAAATATTAGAATATAAAAAAAATATTTTATCAAAATATCCAAAGTCTCCTTGAATTAAAGTTTGATGATAAATTACAGACAGTAATCAAAAATTAAATTTATATGCAATAACTCTCCCCAGTGATAATTAGGATATACGTATTATTTATTAAGTATCCTTTATGGCAAAAGGAAATATCCCCTTTTTTTTCTCCATTTGTATTTCTTTGTAGTTAATATTACATATAGCAGTTTCGATGGTTTCCTTAATAGAACTTTTTTTTAAATTCTTGAATATTTTATTAGACTTTCATCCAGCACCTCCTCTAGTTACTTTCTAATGTATCTATTACCAAAATAGACATGATCACAATACGTACATAAAAAGAGGGATAATAGCTTTTTTATTCTTCCCTTTTATTTTATTTAAAATTAAAATTAACTTTTGTTATGTTGAATCCCCTTTCAATTCTTCTTTAAAAAAAACTGTTTAATACTTGGAGTCTTACTTACCTAAATTTCTTCTCTGAAACTAAAGTATAAATACTTTGGGCTAAACATACTGATGTACTTAACTCACAATGTTTAAAGTGATTACTAAAAAACGTTAATATCTATGTAAGCTGGAAGGTTTATAAGGAATACCTCTAATGGATTCTTCATTTTCTTTTACCTTAAATAAAACACATATAAAAGCAATATTTTCATTCAACAGTTCGTTCAACAACCATTTTCAAATGCTTAATTTATATCGTCTAATCTCTTGAAGTGTTTTTATCATAAACTCGCTCATTTCACATCTAAATATGAGGACTGTTTATAACTAAATTTTTGAAAAGATTAAAACATTTAGAATCTTTAATTCTTCACAAAGATTAGAAAAGTAATTAGCTATTGATATTTCTTAAGTTAGAAACTCTATTAAAAGAAAATATAATAAATTGTTTTTTACCAAGTCTTTTTATTTATTAACTTGAGAAATTTCAATCGAAATAGAATACGTTGTTTAACATTCAAGTCTTTTACCATCATCCTTAAAACGTATGTGTAGAATGCTAACAGTTTGTTTCAAGAACGTTTATAAATACTTTATATGCGTCAAAATTCCACAACAAAAATATGTTAATAACACACGATTGGCAAGAACAGATATAACGTTTTATGAAATTCAAAGAAAAATTAAAGTTCAAAAACAAAAGAAACAATTGAACCTACTTTGTTTCTTTCATATTCTCTCCGAGACATCTCAAATAAATTAGCGTTGGTGAGAGCTATTCCACAGAATTCCAGGTACGTCTTAGCCAGCTAATGAGCGAAATGCAAATGAATTATAATGCTTAAAGTTAATGAAAATAACGAACTTTCATTTTAAGCAGAAACTGAAGATAACAAGATTAGATCGTTTATCCGTTGTCTGCAGCAAGACATTGGTAAGCTACTGACACTACCTAATGAACAGCGTTATTTTATTAGATGACACACGATGTTTCGAAATTACACTATGGTAATTTCCTTTTGCTTCAGTTCTTTCCGTTAGTTATTTTCTGGAAATGGAAATATAAATTGCATAAAACTAGGCCAAAAAGAAACGGTTTATGCACTCTGGACAGATCAATAACAGTAGGATACAGAATATTACGTGCAAAGATAAAATATACCCTAGCGAGAGAGGATCAGCTGAAGAAGGACACATATAGGTGTAGCCTTTTATTACATCTAACTTCTATCCTTAAACCTCCCATGTGAAATGAAACTAGAATTTAAACATTAGGAGTTGATATGACTACTCAAACTCACAGTGTAACGTAACCTGCATTTAAAACAGCCATTCATCCTCAGCAGCCAGTTGTGAGAAGGTAATTGCTTCTAGTAAAACAGAAAAACAAGGAAAAGGCAAAAAAAAGTTAATAAACAGGTTATTTAAAATAAAAGACTAAGGGCATAGAGAATGCAGTTTACCATTCCGCATGGAGGTGTAGACTCTAGAATTATTATTTTATTATATGTCTGTCCTTTATTTGTTATATTTTTCGTTTTTGGCTTAAATGTATTGTATTTGAAAAACAAACAACACCATCCAAAATAAAACAATGTTGTTCAGTTGTGCTCTCTTCTCTATAGAGTTAGTGTTAATACAACTTTTATGTTGTCATCTACTCTTGAAACGTTAAACCTTTAGGGTTAAAACTGACATAACTTTAATGTATTATCATCTACTCTTGAACTAGAATCTCTTTACAATTAACATTAACATAATTTTTATTTTATCTTCTACTCTTGCATCAGCATCTCTTTACAATTAAAATTACTATAACCTTTATTTTATCATCCACTTTTGAACCAGCAAAAAGAATCAGACAGGCGGTAGCACTGTCTATGTAGAGGTGGCTCTGATTGTTCATTGAAATGTTATTATAATTATCTCCTCAATGGGTCATCAGAGCTTTACAATACTTTAGAGTGTTTCCTTTTATAACAATATGGCATCCCTACTATCTTGTTTGCATTGTTTT